AGTAGCATTCATATACACCAATGACAGTCAATCTGAGAACCCAGTCAAAGACTCAGCACCATTCACCATAGCTACAAAGAAAACAAAACACTTAGGAATATACTTAACCAAGGAAGTGAAAGATCTCTACAGGGAGAACTACAAACCACTGATGAAAGAAATCATAGATTACACAAATGGAAAAACATCCCACGTTCATGGATTGGAAGTAGCCACATTGTTAAAATGTCCATACTGCCCAAAGTGATTTATAGAGTACATGCAATTCCCATAAAATTAACAATGCCATTTTTCACAGATATAGAAAAAATGATCCTAAACTTAATATAGAACCAAAAAAGAATGTAAATAGCCAAAGAAATCCTATGTAAAATAACACATCTGGTGGCATCACATCCCTTGACTTCAAATTGTGCTACAAGGATACAGTATTCAACACGGCATGGTACTGGTATAAAAGTAGAAACATAGACCAATGGAACAGAATAGGGAACCCAGAAATAAAAACATCTACCTACAACCAACTGATCTTTCACAAAGCAGACAACAACACACACTAGGGAAAGAAGCCCTATTCAATAAATGGTGCTGGGAAAACTGGATAGCCACATGCAGAACAATAAAACAGTACCCTTATCTCTTGCCATATACAAAAATTAATTCAAGATGCATAAAAGATTTAAACATAAGGCCTAAACCATAAAAATTATAAGAAAACATAGGAAAACTCTTGTGCACATCAGCCTAGGCAAAGAATTTTTGACTAAGACCCCAAAGGCAAGTGTAGGAACAACAAAACTAAATATATGGGATTGAATGAAATTAAGCAGCTTCTGCAAAGCAAACGAAATAATCAACAGAGTGAGTAGACAGTTTGCAGAATGGGAGAAAATGTTCACAAACTATACATCTGACCAAGGGCCAATGTCCCAAATCTACAAAGAACTCAAACAAATCAGCAAGAAAAAAACAAACAATCCCATTGAATAGTGGACAAAAGAAAAAGACATGAACAGAGTTTTTTCAAAAGAAGGTAGACAAATGGCCAAGAAACATGAAAAAATGCTCAACATCACTAATAAATGACATGTAATTTAAAGCCACAATGAGATGCCACGTTACCCCTTTCAGAATGGCCATTATTAAAAAGCCAAAATACAATAGATGTCGATGCAGATGATGTGAAAAGGGAACACTCATACACTTTTGGTGATAATGTAAATTAGTACAACCTCTGTCGAAAACAGTATGTGGATTCCCCACAGAAGTAAATATAGACTTACCATTTGATCCAGCAATCCCACTAGTCGGTATCTACTCAAAGAAAAATAACTCATTTTATCAAAAGGACACCTGTACTCAAATGTTTATCGCAGCACAAATTACAATGGCAAAGATACGCAATCAAGCCCCCTTAAGTTCAATAAAGAAAATATGTGTGTGTGTGTATGTGTATACACACACATATACACATATGTAAATATATACACACACATGCACACACGAAAACACCCCCCCCCGTGGAGTACTACTCAACTATAGAAAGGTATGAAATAATGTCTTTTGCAGGAAGTTGGATGAACTGGAGACCATTATCCTAAGTGAACTATCTCATCAATGGAAAAACAAACACCACATGCACTCTCTAATAATTGGGAGCTAAATTATGGGCACAAAGAGATGTAAAGGACATTGGAAATCAAACAGAAGGGAAGATGGGAGGGGGTGAGGGGTAAAAACTTATCTATCAGGTACAATGAACACTATTATGATGAGCACACTAGAAGCCTTTACTTAAGCATTATACAAGGTATCCACGTAGCAAAAACATTTGTATCCCCTTAATATTTTGACAAAAATGAAAAAAAAAAGAAATTTTGAGGGGTGGAGACGATCTAAAGGCAAAAGGATCTTTCCAATCCAGGAAATTAGGGTGAGCTGAATCTTTCACCAGATTTTGGGCAGGAATATACATTAAGGAAGTGTGTAGAAACGTTAGAGGACTTAGCCAATTGATGCACATTGTTAAACAAATTTGACACAATCAGACTTATATAAAATAACTATTTGTCACATGCCTGCTGTAGTATGTCTGCTTGATAAAAAAGAACTTTTTTTTTTTTTTTGTGGCACACTTTTCACTTGTAATGAGTAATGGCTTCCACCAGGTGGCAGCAGAGATACAATTGAGAAAAAAACGTGGAGCGAGTGGAACCACTAATCAGGTTCTTAACCTTTATTGTACTATGTCCTCTTCTCAGAATAATGTTTTCAAATGCAAAAAATAAAACACATAGTAATATATGAGATTCCTTAAATGTATTAAACAACAATGTGTAAAAATAGGTGTAATAACTACCATAATTTTCAAGTAGTGGTAAATGTAAATATTTTTAGATAATCTGCAACTGTAATGTGATGTGAAAATATCTTTGATGTCTATTGGTGACAAAATCTCAGGTACCGGTAATGCTATTGTGTTTTGTTGCCTGCATTCATTATTGAAGAAAATGTCCATTTTCAGTCAGAGCTTAGTGAAGATAAAGACAAATTTCCCTCATCGAAGTTAACAGATCACATGAGTTCTATCACATACCCTCCTACCTCCTCCCCCTGAAAAATGACAACAGATTAAGAATCTCTATCCTATGGAGAACTGTATTACCTGTTCTATCATGAGTAGTGATTACTTATGAATTGGGTTGTTTTTAAAAATATATTTGGGGATAAAGTTATATATAGGTATGTCACACATTATGAAATATTTCTGAAAAGATAGGTATAAGATGGCCCGGCGCGGTGGCTCACGCCTGTAATCCTAGCACTCTGGGAGGCCGAGGCGGGCGGATTGTTTGAGCTCAGGAGTTCGAAACCAGCCTGAGCAAGAGCGAGACCCCGCCTCTACTAAAAATAGAAAGAAATTAATTGGACAACTAAAAATATATAGAAAAAATTAGCCGGGCATGGTGGCGCATGCCTGTAGTCCCAGCTACTCGGGAGGCTGAGGCAGAAGGATTGCTTGAGCCCAGGAGTTTGAGGTTGCTGTGAGCTAGGCTGACGCCACGGCACTCACTCTAGCCCGGGCAAAAGAGTGAGATTCTGTCTCAAAAAAAAAAAAGATAGGTATAAGATAAATCATTGTATTCAAATCTTTTCTCCCCTTTGTTTTCATTATAAAACTAGAAATTAAATTCTTCTATGAAAAAAAAATGTGTGGCTCCCAAATGTAATAAAATCAATTTTAAAATGAATCAGATTTTGCAAAACATATTTAAAATTAAAAAATTCTGAAAAAGTAGTATTATATCACAAAGTAAATATAAAAATAGTTGTCTTTTGCTTACTTACTATTCCCAAGGTATTTTAAGCATTTTATAGACATTATCATATTTAATATTAAAAATAATTATATGAGATTGTTAGTACTCTAATCCCTGTTTTGCAGAAGAACCTGGGTGGTCATGCTGGGGTCAGAAAAACCTGGATTCAGTCCTACCTGTACCACTTATTAGCTGAACGGCATTGGTCAAGTTACTTATCCTGTCTAAATTTAAATTTCCTTATCTGTAAAACAAGGATAATATACCTCATCTACCTCATGGTGGTATTAAGAAATAATGCATAAAAATAACTTAACATCTTGCTTGGCACACAGTAAGCTTGTCAGGATCACCATCGATCTACACATTGCCAAATCCAGAAGTCAATTCTCAATCTCCATCTTATGCAATCCATCAGTAACTTTTAATACAGGTTAAACTCCCTCTTACTTGAAATAATCTCTTCACTTGGCCTGTGGGATATTACTTGCTCTTGGTTCTCGTACCTCACACACTAGCTTTCCTCCTCTGTCTTCTCTGCTACATTCTCCTAACTATAACCTCTCCTAATCTTATTAACCCACAGGGTTCCTTCCTTGGGCCTCTTCTCTGAGTCTAGATGATCTCATATAGCCCATGGTTTTAAATGCCATATATAGGCTAGGACTCATTTATATGAGCCTAGGCCTCCTCTGAACTCTACAGACATAGTCCTAGCTGCCTACTCAACGTTTGTACTGAGATGTTTAGTAAGCAATTCAGATTCAACATACCCAAAACTTACTTCATTTGCTTTCCCCCAAACCTGCTCTCACTTTTTTTCCTGTCTCAGTAAATGACAACTCCATTATTCCAGTTTCTCAAGTTAAAGAGTCTCACATGGCATAGTCAATCCATTTAGGAAATCATGTCCATTCTACATTCAGAATTATCCAGAATCCAATTCTTTTTCACCATCTCCACTGCTGCCACCCTAATTAAAGCCCTCAGAATCTCATCTGGAGTACTGTAATGACTTTCTAACTGATCTCCCTACTTCTTCCCTTGTTCCCCTATAGTTTCTTCTCCCCATAGCCAAAAGTGATCCTTTTAAAAACATAGCATCGTGTTAATCCTCTACTTACAATTGCCCAGTACCTTCTCATCTCACTTAAAATAACAGCCAAAACTTTTACCATGGCCCTATGTGACTTAGCCGTCCACCATCTTTCTGATCATGTCTCCTAACACTCTCTCACTACCTCCCCCTACCCCACACACCATATCTCGTGTACTCTGTTCCAGCCATATTGGTTCCTCAGACATGCCTAGGGTCCATTACATTTGCCATCTGCTCATCCTGGAATGCATTGCCCACCAAAATCTATAGGGAACACATCCTCACCTCCTTTAGTTATTTGCTCAAATATCACCTTCCCAGAAGGCTTTCCCTGGCTGCCCTATTTGAAACTGCAAATCACCCAAGCATTGCATATATCCCCTCCCTGTTATATTTTTCTGTATAGCACTTACCACCATCTGATACATATTTTACTTAATTTTATTATTTAATCTCACCTAGCTCAAATGTTACGTCCATGTTGGTAGAGATTTTTATCTGGTTTGTTCAATACTGTATCCCCAATACCCAAAATAAATGTGTTAAATGACTAATTTTTTTTCATTTTAATACTTTATCAGGTGCTACACAGTTTATGCCTGACCCCAAGCTCATGGATCACGGGCAGTCCCACCCAGAAGATGTAGATATGTACAGCACTAGAAGCTGAAGTAGACTGCACAGACTGCATAGAAACTACAAGATATATGAAGTTGCAAATTATGATAAAATCATGTAATGAGTAACTGACACAAAGAATATAACTTAAATCAAGTATTTCAAAATCAAGTTTTTGAGAACTTGATTTCAAAATCAAGTTTTTCTATTACATCTGCAAATGTACAGTTTGACAAACCACATAAATGATTAAAACACACAATGCAATCCAAATAATATTAAATGGTTGATGAGGAGACACAGCTAGAAGTATTAGGTTGCATGTGATGACTTACAAGGGCATTTATTAAAAAAAACAAAATGAAGATGAACACCAATGAGATTAAAATCTGAAATACATATGTGCGTGTATATATGTATATTTATACATATACACATACATATGTACTCTAGCTTTTCTGAATTAATGTCAGTTAAATTAGAATGGTATGTATGTGAAAGGATGTGTTCCCCCATTTTTTTCATTTTCTAGAGCTGGAATAAAATACCTATATTTGATGGCACTTGGGCTTGGCTTTGTCTCTTTGTTTTTATTAATGTGTTAACTCCTCTTAAATGTCTAAAACATCTCTAGCTATTTAAAAGGCCATATGCTACGCAGGCCCCCTAATACTGCTTAGCAATCCTTCTACCTATTCTCAGTGTTTTACTATTTCTGTTCCCTAGACAAGGTATTACAAACCTTTTATTCTCTTAAAGCGTCCTATACCTGCTAAAGTTGACTGGGCCTCCTATTTCATGGAGGAAAAAAGTAAATTATTAGACACGGCCATTCCCATCTACCTTCAAGACCTAACTCTATTCAGCCATGCATCCCCCTTTTCTAAGGCTAATGTGTTCCTGATCTCATTCCTTCCCATCTTTTCCAGGACCATATTCCATCCTGTTTAATCTTTAGTCTTTAGTTTCTCTTCTCACTCGGTTTCTTTTCCTCAATCTCTAAAGAGCTTCAGGTCTCCTGTATCCTAAAGCAACATTAACAAAAACAAGACCAAAACCTTTCCAGAACTCTGCTGCTTCCCTTGAGTTGTCTTTTCTCTCTCCTTCCTATGATTGCCATACCTCTTTACAAAGTAATTTTGTCCCTTTCTTCCCTACTTTCAGTTCCTAACTTGTGACATCCTGGCCTCTATATTAACTCCTCACCACTGCCTCCTTGAAACTCACTCCTCCCTTTGCTTTCTGTAATTCCTGTGTCTCTTGTTATTCTTCATTATTCTTCCCTTGCTCTGAATCCTTTAAATGCTGAGGCTGCTCAGGTTGCATCCATAGTTCTCTGTTCTCATTCTGTATGCTCTCTCATTTTCATTTAACAGACTTCGCTGGCTTCAGCCACCATTTATGTGTCATTATTCATATTTTCAGCCCCCATATTTCTCCAATGCTGGAGACCTATATTTCTAATTATTTATTAGTTATATTCACATAATGTCCCATAATATCCCTATGTCAATATGCCTAAAACAAAATTTTCTCTACTCCCTACTCCTTATTTCTTATTTCTCAAATCTATTCTGCCTTCTTTAATCTTATTATTACTCTTGTTCAAGTCTTCATCATCACTTTCCTGGGTTACTAGAGTAGCCTCCTGGCTAATCTGCTCACCATCAATCTTGCTCTCTCTCCCTTTAGAATGTGTTCTGCTTGCAAGTAACAGTAAATTAGTTAACAGTAGCTTAAACAAATAAGGATCTCTTTACAGCCAGAAATTAGGCAATAGAGGGTTGGGACAGTGGCTTGCTGGTGCCATCAAGGACCTAGACTTACTCACTTTCCACTCTGTTCTCTATTTCTGTGGTCCCCAATCCCCAGGCTGTGGA